TGGGTGACAGCTGCTGCCGCTCCGGAGAGAGTACCGATCCGTGGGTTTGTATCCATGTGTGTAAAATCAGGCTAATTTAAAGATGAATTAGGTGTTTGTGTTTTAGACCATTTTCTTTTAATGTTAAGTGTTTGATGGCTCCTGTCAGGTTATGCGGTCCCCAAATTTGTGCAAGGGTCAAAATGAATACGCTTTTAAAGAATTATTAAATCTTATATCCAGGTGAGCTGTATTAGAATAAAAACGAATCAATGAAATCCCTAAGGGCTCCATAGGGAGCATGTCTAGGACGTGCATTGTGCAAGAGCTTGGACCTATTACCTTATTTTTCCTTCCCTCTGGGACCTCCTGTGGTCTGGAGCCAGAGAATGTACCCTCTGCTGCTTTGTTGGGAGGGCACTGGTTAGCCTGTCACTCTGACCTTGCAGGCTTGAAACCTTTGAAACCAGGGTTTGCCAGGGGTCGGCTAGAATGTTGTTCTGGAATGGTGCTTAGCCGGGTATCAAGTAGACAAAACTAAGAGCATGTTTAACGTCCTTCCATTTTTTAGAAGCAAAATCATAGCAAATGTTCCTTTTAATTCTGTAAACCTGTGGTGTTTAATATGGTAGCCACCAGCCACATGTGGCCATGGAATACTTGAAATGCAGCTCATCTGAATTGAGATGCACTGTAAGCGTAAAATACTCACTAGATTTCAAAGACTTGATGTGAATAAAATAATGTAAAATATCGCAATCATTTAAAAAGATTGATTACACATTGAAGTGATCATGTTTTGGATATGTTGGGTTAGATAAAATATATATTAAGATTAATTGTGCCTGTTGCTCTTTCCTTTTATTAATGTGGCTACTAAAAAGTTTAAAATTACATGAATGGCTTGCATTATATTTCTATTGGACAGCATTGCTGTGCCATTAAATCAGAATCATTCAAACTTCGATAATAATAGCATGTAACATTTTTAGGACACTTAGAACATCCCGGGCTCTTTACTATATGATCTAATTTTGAATCTTGTTTTGAATTGAAAAAAAGCAAAGCCAAAATTGGTAAGCCTCCTTTTCCACTCTGTTTCTCACACTAGTTTTTGTGGGAATCTTTTCAGAGTTTCTTTATGCAGTGTAGTACCATGTTTAATTCTCACACCAACACTATGAAATAGATACGACGATCATCCCCATTTAACATATAAGGAAACAGACTTAGAGGTTTAGGTAACCAGCCCGTGGTCCCTTGGCTAATACATGGCAAGGCCAGGGTTTGACTCCAGGAGTTTCTGAAAGCAGAACTTCTATGAGCCAATTAAATATTTTGGTAATTAGGCAAGGATAATGCCACTAAATTTCTCTGTGACCCTGGGAAAGTCTCTGTGTCTTTCTGTGCTCTACTTTCCTCGTTAAGTGATTGGACTCCAGATGCTGTTGGGGGTCCCTTCTAGCTCTTCGAGTGTAGGAGAGCCCATTTCACTCTTCCCATTTTGCTTCTCTTCCCCCTCGTGCTTCTGACCCTGTGCCCATCTCAGAGGATCAGAGGACCAGAGGACCAACAGGGTAGACTGAATGATGGGAAAGCAGGATGGAGGAATGGTTAGCAGGGGAGGAAGAAGAAGCAGTAGGGCGAACAGCATGAGGGAGTTTACCAGCGATGGACAGCTCAGTACCGTTGTGCGGAGTGAACACCCCATGGGGATGTTGGCATAGAACAGAGCCCAGGACCTTGACACAGACCTGCCCTCAGCCTCAGCAAAGGTCTGCCTTTTATCTCGAAATATGAAAACTGTGGAGGTGGTCTAGGAGGGCAGTGAACATGCACAAAGGTTTGGGAAACGACTTTTCAGGGAAGGACCAGATCGAGGCAAGGTGAAGTCCGTATAGCGTAGAGATTAGGTGAATGGGTTCTGAGGCAGGTTGGGATCAAGGCTGGACTTTGCCCCTTACCAGGTGTCTGATACTGAGCAAGTTTAAGCCTCCCTAAGCTGCAGCATCCTCATCTGTGAAATGGGATGATAACTGTGCTCAGCACTTGGGCGGCGGTGGGGATTAAGTGATACGTAGCAATAACAGCTGACACATTTTGAATGTTTCCTATGTGCCAGGCACTCCGCGTGTACACAAACGTATCAGTGCTTGTTGGGACTCAGCCTGAGCCTGCAAACTTCTAATAAGAATACAATGAGTGGGGCTCTTGTCACGATCTTAACCGTGTCTAGGAAAGAAGATCCTTTGGCTGCATTCTTGTCCTGCTGTGTGGCTTTCAGTGAAGTTACTTAACTTTTCTGAGCCTCAGGTGACTCATTTATAAAATGAGATGATAGGACTTACCTGGTGGTCCAGTGGTTAAGACTCCATGTTCCCAATGCAGGGGGCAAGGGTTCGATCCCTGGTTGGGGAACTAAGATTCCACATGCTGCAGGGTGAGGCCAAAATAAAAAAATAAGAAAAAGAAAGTGAGATGATTAAAGCAGATGATTTGTAAGGCCTTTTCAGCTCTAAAATACTGTGCAATTCTGGAAATAGGATTTATTTAGTGTTGAGAAGGCTAAGGTGGATACTAAAATATGAACTTCATAAATAAAAATATATATATGATGATTATAAATCTGAGGGATGGTGAACAGCTGTTCTCTTTTGGCTGAGGACAGGACATGAGGCAACATATTTTAATTGTTTTAGATTAATCATTTGGAAGCCTTTTGTGACTTGGGAGAAAGACTAATATGTCATTGGAGCAGGCTCTGGAGCTGCACACTCTGAACTCACCAAAGCAGACAGTTGGCTATTTTTCTGTGTGATGTAACTTCACCACACAGCCCTTCCTTGACCCCCGATCTAAAGTAGACACCCCCCCACACACACACACTGTATTCTTTCTTCACATTTCACCCTGTTGCTTTTCTCTGTAGCACTTATGACATTTTGTAAGTGCATATTTATTTTTACTTAGCATTTAATGTCTATTGTTTTAAAATTTTATTTAATTTATTTTTTATACAGCAGGTTCTTATTAGCTATCCATTTTATACATATTAGTGTATATATGTCCATCCCAATCTCCCAATTCTGTCTCTTTAGATTGTCAACCATCTAAAGCCGGGTTGGTCGCTATTTGGTTCACCTACTATGTACCTAGTTCTAACATGGTGGTCATCACATAGCAGGTGCTCAGTAAATATTTGTTGAATGAATAAGTGGGTGAATGAGTTTCAGAGGTGGTTGATTTGGGGGTAGTACTTCTTGATGGAGGTGGATCCTCTGCTTGCCTCTTTTGGTAAGAAAATCCCAAAGACCTTGTCTTTCAAGGGACTTTAGATACTGTTTCGCCTTCCCACCATCATCTCCTGGGGGCTGGTCATGCATGGGTGTGAGTTTCTAGTTTTAATGGGCTGCCTGAGCACCCTTTCTTATGGGCTGGCCAGCCTGCATCTGGCTCTGGTGGAGGAGATAGAAGGGGAATGTGGAGCTCCATTTGAATAAAGGCCAGTGGAACGTGGGTTGGTTGTGCTTGTTATTTCTGTCTGTTCCCCCAGAACAGCCTTTTGCCCTTCTTTATGCTGCCCTGTGCCCCAGGAAGCTGACCTCAATGGCTGTATCAGTGAGGCTCCCTTACCCTCTGGCTTCTGGTTGAGCTTGGCCAGTGGGAGGGCAAAGCAGGAAGACAGGGCAAGGAGAGAGAGGTTGGGTGTGTTGTACCCGGGTTCTCTGGCCCGAGAGCTCTCCATGGCTCTCTCCAGGTCTTGCAAACACACTCTTTCTATCCCCCAGGGATAGCAGGGCTCATGACCCCCCACTGTTAACTGCCCTGGTGCTTCCCCATTCCTTGTCCCCTAATTCCTGTCCACACCTCTGTAAACTCCATACAGATGGGCCATTCGTTCCCCTGACCGTTTGCTCCGGCACCACCCCCTCATGGTCTTGCACCCATCTTACCTGATACACGGTAGGGACTACGCATCTAATCGCAGGGGATATGAAGTGCAGGGTCCGGGGAGAGGTTGGAGGAATATTTTGTAGTAAATCTGAGTATGATCGCCTGTACATGAGGTTTCTGTTTTTAATGAAAAAAACAGAAAAAAAAAATACCCCAAAACAAACCAAGAAACCCTCAACCACCCTCCTTTGGGTTAGGAGTTGAAGAATTCTTGAGAAAGGGGTTCGGTTTCTCTCTCCGATTCCTCTCATGGGCAGGGCCGGCACTGGCTGCCACTGCTCAGGTGGCCCCATGATCTCAAGCCCCACGAAGCCAATCAGACTCTGATGTCTTCAGAACAGACGCCCCAGTGTGCGGGCACTGCAGCTCCCAGCTGCTGATCAGGGGCCTGTTAGGCATCTGCTCTCGTTCTTTTTCTTCACTGGGCTTCAGAGGCCTTTACTTCCCTGGTGAGTTGATAAGAACAGCCTCTCTGAGGTTGAAATAGCTTTTCATGGAGCAGACTGGAGCTGGGCAGCCAGCATGGCCGGGGGGAGGTCACGGAGTTGGCAGACAAGAGTTGGCATAGAGGGAGAAGATAATAAAACTTGAGGCCGACATTGGTGCACTGCTTTAGAGTTTTCAAAGCGCTTGAATGTAAAGGAACACATTTATGCTCCACAAAATGGCCTGGTGGGGTGCTGGGCATTGTCGCCCTCACTTTGTAGACGTGCAAAAGGGCTCGGGGATCCTTGAGCGCCTCGCCCAAAGTCACGGAGCCGGAGGGTGGCAGAAGCAGGACAGAGACGCAGGCCGTCTGACCCTGTGTGCTTCTGGCGCCCCTTCTGCCCTGTCTCCGCCGTCTCTGAGGGAGCAGGCAGGGCTGGGCTCTGGCTCTGGGACTGTGAACTGGAGATGGAAACGCTGAACTCCAGTGTTCCTGTTCGTCCCGGAGGAGAGATCGCAGGCATCTTGAATCCTTGCCGGGGGCTGCGGTTCCCGCATGCCCCCAAGGGCCACCCTTCCTTTCCCTCCTGTCTCTCCTGTTTCCAGTGGCCTGACACTGCTTTTCTGTCCTTGTTTTTCAGAAGTGGAGCTGCCTCTGAAGAAAGATGGGTTCACCTCAGAAAGCACCACCCTGGAAGCCTTGCTCCGTGGCGAGGGGATCGAGAAGAAGGTGGACACCAGGGAGGAGGAAAACATCCAGGAAATACAGGTATTTCTGTGCTTGCGGGACGGGTTGGGGGTGGCCCCCAAGCATCACCGTCGTGCTTCCGGAACTCCAGCCCCAGCTCTGGTCATTCTCTCAAGGGCCAGGGCTGCGTCTCAACTTCCCACCACAACTGGGAAGCTGGCCTTGGTCTCCCTGTTAGTCCACTCAAAACGTAGTTTTGGAGCCTACTGTGCGCCAGGCACCGTGCGAGGTCCTGGGGACACAGTGGTGAGTGAAACTGACCACATCCTCTTTCCCGCCCCCGGGAGCCAGCAGCCACAGCCCAGGCTTGGAAAGCTCGGTTGTCTGGGGCCGCCAGCCCCGCAGGGATCCCCACCGCACCCCTGCCTCACACACCCTCATCAGCTCTAGTTCACCGGGCTGTCTTGTCCTTCCCCAGCACCACCCACCTGTCCTTCAAGGCCAGTTTAGAAGTCATCCCCCAGGCAGGTTGGTGGCTTCCATCCCCATGTGTTCACCACCTTCTGTGCACAGCATGGCTAAGGCTGCCACCACGCAGGGTCACCACGCAGGATTACAATGGTGTGCTCTGATGGTGTCTTATTTATGTGTCTTGAGCCCCCATTGTTGAATCCAGTGGTTGGCACAGAAGCTCGTAATATTAATGAATACAAATATGAAATCATAGTTTTTAATAATTAAACATAATGAAATTATTAAAATTAAATTACATTAATACTTTATATTAAAATTATATATTTTATGTTATACATATGTTATACGATTACATATTTATTAATTTTATATCCAATCTAATATTTGCATATTAATTTATTAACATTGTAATTAAATGACTACCAGTAAAATGTTTGGTTTGCTTCGTCAGTACCACAGTGTGTGGGTTCCGTCGAGTCAGAGACCGTGCCTTCGTGTTCACTGTTGTACCCTCGGGGCCTTGCACGTGCTCAGCAGAGTCTGGTCTCAATAAAGGTGTTGAATGAGTCAGTGAACGTGGCCTCCTTCTCTGCCATTCCTGCGTTCAGATGAATGGTCCAGTCTTTTCCGTTTGGTTGTCACAACATGGCTTATATTTGTTCCCTCCTCTACTTGTCAGACCTACAGCCCTAGTAAAGATCCTTATTGACTGAAACCTTTATATGTCTGACACACCTTGGAGTTGTCTTCGACCCCTGTCTTTCTCTCACACCCAATATCCATTCATCAGGAATCCTGTCCACTGTGCCCTCAACACAAATCCAGAGCGTGGCCCCTTCTCACCACATCCACCGCTGCTGCCCTGGTCCGAGGCACTCACATCTCCTGTCTGAACGGTTGCAGTTGCTTTCTAAGTAGTCCCCTGCTCATGGCTGAGAGGGAGCTCAAACCCTGCACTGGCCCCTGTTCTCCCGAGAAGAAGCCGCGGCCCTCTCCCCTCTCTCTGACTCGCTGCTTCCTCTCTTCCTGGCTGACTCAGCTCCAGGCGCACCGACCCTCGGCTACTCACGTACACACCAGGTGCGCTCCACCTCCGGCTGTGCTCTGGCTGCTTCCTCTGCCTCACGGCCCTCTCCCCATATGCTGGGCTCTCACCCTCACCTTCTTCCAAGTTTTGGTTCCTGTCTCTTCTTCTCTGTGAAGTTTACCCTGACCACTGAATGTAATACCACATCCTGTGCCCTCTCTGCCCCGCAGCACTCCCGATTCTCTTACTCTGCTTTCCTTTTCTTTTTCTTTTTCCCCATAGGTTTTACCAGCATCTAACATACTTTATAATTTACTGATTTATGATGCTATTGTTTATTTTCTGTTTTCTTCTAGTAGGATGTAAACTCCTCAAGGGCAGGAATCTTTGTCTCTCTTGCTTGCACCCCTTTGTATCTCAAGACCTAAACAGTGCCTGCACATTAGGTGCAGTAGGTGCACAGTAAACATTTATTGCGTGGATGCACGAGTGAACAGATTCCTGTGAGTTGCCCGTCTCCAGTCTGTCCCCTCTCCATCATGTCCGACTTTGATAGCTGACCTTTCATCCCAAAACACAATGCTGCTTGTGTCATGCCCTTGTTTAAAAAACTTGGCTAAAACACTTTTGTTTCTCGCTAAATGAATCTAAAGTGATGAGTGTGATCTTCTTGGGCCTCCTCTCTCCGCTCCTAACCTAGTTTTCAGGCTTATTTCCCACGATTCCTTTACTCCCTCTGTTCTCCAGCCTCCTTCCCTCCGTGCCTCTGGTCATGCTGTGCCCTTTATCTGGCATGCCTTTTCTTCCATCACCACGTGTACAAATTCCACCCACCTATTAGGCTCAGCCCTGATACCACCTTCCCCATGAAGCCTTTCTTGATCACCCCCCACCCCCTAGTTCTCTTTTTACCGCTGGCATTTAGGGCACCTAGTACTTTCTTTTTCTTCTTCTTCTTCTTTTTTTTTTTTTTTGCTATTCATGTATTATCCCCAATTTTTGGACTTTTAGATCTTTGAAGTCACCGTCTGTCCCATCTGTATTGCCTGTTAAGAGTATTTTTGCTCAGTTGGGGTAATTTGACCGAGTCAATGAATGGGACAGAACCATTGCCCAGAAGCCTTGATGCTCTAGAGAGAGGCAGCCCTTTCCTTTTCGAGCGGGCAGTGGGTTCGAGTCCTTCTCAGGCAGCATTGGGCCAGTACACGGGTCGTCATTGTCGAATCATCATCATCACCATCCTCCCCGATGTAACCAGAATGTCTACTATATGCAAAGCATGGCCCTACGACCTGCTGTGCTAAGAACTGAAACCAGGACCAAAAGCCAGAAGAGTTTACATGTTTTTATTGGCTTTGATTATTAAAATAAAGTGCACATGTAACAAATGGACTGTTTTGTTCATTTTTCCATTCATTCCATCAAAGTTTATTGAGTGCCTCCTCTGAGCAGGCATTGTGCTGGGCTCTGGGGTAACAGGGAAACCAAGAGAGACCTGTCCCCTCTGCTCATACTTATTTTGTAGCATGACATACAGACAGAAAGCAAGTAAACAAACAAGTAAAGTAACTGCATTTCAGGATAAATGCCATGAAAAGAACAGAGTGTGAAGGCTCAGCATAAGAGGAGGGACGGATTCTAGGTAGCATCCTCGGGGAGACAAGGGCTATACCCCAGTCCTGTGAGATGAGAAGGAGCCAGTAAAGTGAGGAACCTGGGAAGGGCTTTCTGGGCAGAGGAACAGTGCTCTTGAAGGCATCGCGATAGTTCTGAGCTCGTTGTGTGCAAAGAACAGAGGCTGGTGTGGCTGGAGCAGGGTGCCAGGGAGAGAAGGGCCGGGGAGGCACTTGGAGAGGTGGGCAGGGCCAGACCTGCAGGAGGCTCTTGGATTCATGGGACGTGAAAAAGGAAGCCATTTGGAGGATTTTAACCAGGGCAGTGAATTTGTGTTTCCTTAAGACCCCTGTGGATGCTGCATGGAAAGGAGACTGGATGCAGGGCCAGCAATGCAAGGAGGGAAATAGCAGAATTTTGCACTCTTCCAGCTGGAGATAATGGTATCTTTAAAGAGGAATTCCTCTGATACACACAAAATTAAAAAAAAAAAAGAAAAAAGAAGAATTCCTTCTTTTTTAAAAAAGCACAACCACAAATGATCATTATCATCACCGTAAAGACTGGTTAGAGTAACAGGGAGCAAAGTTGTTTTAAAATGTGTTTATTTTCCAGATAATGTCCTTGGACAGGGAATGCAAGTGTGTCACGGGGGATGAGCTGCATCTCTAGTTGGACACCCCTGCCCTTCATTCCTAATACAGGATGCTCCCTCTGCTTCCTGAGCCCTGAATACGGGCTTTGTTTGTTAGGAACTCCTGGCTTCTCCCAAGTTGTGTAGAGAGGCTTCTGGTGTCAGGGCCACGTCGCAGGAAATGCAGAAACACAGGAAATGCAGAGACACAGGAAATGCTGCTGTCACATGTGAGGCCTGGGGCTCGGACCAGAGGTTCTAGAGACACAGGGAAGCCAGTGAGAAGAGGGAGGGAGAAGTCAGTTTTCTCCAGGATGTTGAAGCTGTGCGGCACATCTAGGGACTAGTGCCTGCACAGTTTTCATCTTTACCAGCTTTCACCTTCCAACCCAGCTTTCACCTTCCAACCCAGAGTCCATACTGTGGGTACTAAATACCTTCATAATAAAAAATGAGAGTGGCATCAGAACTGCACTGAGATGCCAGAGGCAATGATCTTTAAATTCGAGGCACTTGGAACTTACCATGATTAAATGACTTCAACACCCAGAGAGTTTGCAAGATGGCTACACAAACAGCAACAGTTGTTGTAAGAACGACACCTTGTATTTATGCTACATCTTTTCACCAAAGGCTGCAGAGCATCTGACTTGTCATTGTCTCACTAGTGTTCCCCCCTACGGTTCAGGAAGCCAAGGCGCAGGAAGGCTAGGACACTTGCTGTGGACCCGGGCCAGCGTTTCCTAGCTGTGGGCCAGAGGTTGTGTCTGGCAGATGCCGTTGCTTCTCTGTTAGGTGGCGAAGGTTGACCCAGAGAGCCTAAGCGCTATCAGCTGATGGCTTCCCATATAAACCTGGTAGAGAAGCCAGAGAAGAATTTACTAGACCTATTTTGAGTTCTTTGGGAGGATTTGGCGATTAGCAATATCCTGATCCCTGCGATGGGAATGGAACTCTCTGACAAGAAGGCAATGGGAGAAGGTCACTGGAAACTCACCCCTGGGCTTCCTGCTTTGAGGACAGGCCCAGGGCATTGTCCAGGAGGCCACTGGAACCGTGATGGTGATACCAGAAGTCAGTACCATGCATGCTGCTTTCTAAGTCTTTTTTAAAAAAATTATTTAGCAGCATGAATGGTTTTTCTTTTTCAATTTTATTAATTTTTATTTTTTGTCCGTGTTGGGTCTTCATTGTTGTGCATGGGCTTTCTCTAGTTGCTGTGAGCAGGGGCTACTCTTTGTTGCAGGGTGCGGGCTTATCATTGCAGTGGCTTTTCTTTTTGCAGAGCACAGGCTGTAGGCGCACGGGCTTCAGTAGCTGTGGCACGTGGGCTCAGTAGTTGTGGCTCGTGGGCTCTAGAGCGCAGGCTTAGTAGTTGTGGCGCACAGGCTTAGTTGCTCTGTGGCATGTGGGATCTTCCCGGACCAGGGCTCATGTCCCCTGCATTGGCAGGCGGATTCTTAACTACTGCGCCACGAGGGAAGTCCCACTTTCTAAGTCTTTTCATAGCTCGTGTGATTGTCACACTATTACCTCAAGGATAGGTGGATGCTGTTGTCCTGTATAACTTGGTGCCCACCCACCTTTCTAGCTTCACCTTAGGCCAGTCTCTTCCTGAGCCACTGAGCTCTGGTCACATTGGCCTCTTCATGCTCTCTGGACAAGCCATATTCCCCTCCCTGCTTCAGGGAGTTTGCTCATGCTGTTGCCTTTGAGTAGAATACTTTCCCTCCTCTCCTCCCTTTGGTCCCTGTTCCCAAGGTTAGTCTCTGTCCATCCTTTACATCTAAACTTCCTTAGTTCACTTCCACAGGTAAGCCTTACCTGACCTCAGATTAGGAAAGGTCCCTTCTAACAACCTCTCATAGCACCTTGAACTTGCCTGTCACTGTTTTCATAGCAGTTGTAATTATATGGTTATGTATGTTGATTGAATCTGTCCTTCCTTCATTAGACTGTAGAGTCCACTTGGGGCCAGGACTGTAGCCATTTTTTGGCTTATCTAGCACAGTACCTGCCATGTAGTCAGCCTTAGACAAATGTTTGTTGATTGAATGAATGAGTTCCTATTTTATAATTGGGGAAACTGAGGCACAAAGCGATGATGACTCACCCAAGGTCACACAGTGAGCTTATAAAGAAGCCCCCAGGGCTCCTGACATGGAATCCGTGGGCTCCCCTTCCCCTTATCCCACTTCTACTCTGGGGGGCTGGGTCCTCTGCCACAGTCTCTCATCCCTCCCTTAAACCTAGAGATACGCACCTTACCTCCCCTTTCCTCCCCTACGCCAAAGCAAGTGAGGTGCTCAGGTCCTACAGGAAGTACTGCAATATGCCGTGGAATTCTCAGACACAAGGGCTGAGAGAGAAATGGGAAACTCTGAGCTGATGAACCTGACCTTGCTTTGGTCATGGATTCTGCTATCTGATGTTGAGCAGTCAAAACTATTTTCAGCCTCAGTTTACTTACCTGTAAAATGGAAATTGGATTCTCTGCTGCAGTGTGACTCACGGGGCTGTTAGAGAGAGAGAATTAAAGTTATGATCTTTAAGCTCCATTACAAGTAATGTGCTGTAACGAAAATCCATTACTCTTAAAAAAATAACAATGGAAGATTATGAATAACACATTCATGTCAAATTCTGTTCAGATGGACAGGAAGTTACTTGCTTTCATCAAACAGGGCAAGATTCCAGAATGCCAGGGAAAGGAGAAACATATTTTCATATATTTGAGGTGGCCCTTTAGGAACAAAAGGAAAATTACATGAAAGTAAGTTTTGACCAGACATCTTGGGCCCACATAGGAGGATACCCCTACCAGAGTATTCTCTTTTTAGAAAACATTTCTTGGGCAAAAAGAGTTGAAAAAGTCGGTGTTCTAGGAGGAGTTGGCTGGACGGGTCCCAGGAGAGAGAGTTGGTACCGCCAAGAGCTCCAGTTCCTGGCCAGCATTTTGGAGGCCTAGCTTCCCAAGCCATGGAAGCATCTTCACTGTGTTAAAAAAAACACACCAAAACAGAATACCCTCCGAATTACCCTCTGATGGTTTTCTCCTTTGCATTTTATTTCTCAACGCTTCTATTTTCTTGTCATTTCAGAGGGTTTTGGAAAATGATGAAAATGTAGAAGAAGGAAATGAAGAAGAGGATTTAGAAGAAGATATTCCCAAGCGGAAGAATCGGACCAGAGGACGGGTAAGCCGTGAAGGGAGGAAAGAGATCAGGGAGGCCGGGGCCTGGCAAACAACTGGTCCCTAGATTCAAAATCCCACTGCAGCTAGATAGAGGGTGTATCCATGGTCTTCCTTGCAGGACACCCAGAGAGGAAACCTCCAGAAGAATTCTGGTTCTCAGGTGATAGCCTGCAAGAGTTTAGAGCTGGCAAGAGGGAGAGAAGAGGCAGACGGTGCCCCGAGGGGATGGTGAGGGTCTGGGGAAGGTGGAGGTTGAGGTGTGGGTGAAGGTGGAGGATGAGGGGAATGTGACCGCTGTCCCCATTCCTCAGTCATAGAATAAGGCGGAAAGTGTCCTGTCCCTGGGGCTGCCCCAGAATGACAGGGTCAGGACACCTGCTTTGGGGTACGTTTCACTAGGCAGAGAGTGGGAGCAAACTGGGAAAGCATGGGGGCCGCAGCTGATGGTTCCCAAGCCAGTGTGGCGGGGGCTTTGGAGGCGTGTGGGCCTGGAATGTGACAAGAAAAGGCCAGAAGGCTGGGGAATGGCCAAGGGGAAATCCGTGGTGGAAGGAATAAAAATATGAGGGTGACTCTTAAGGGGAGGGAGCGAAACCTGAGCGGTGCTCTCTGGCATTCGGGGTGGTCCTCCAGAGTCCTCATGTTCAAGCCCAGAGGGGTTTTCTGGGATTACCTTCAGGGCTCTGCAGGAGTATCTGACAATAGCCAGATGCAGCGGGACCTGCGGGGAGGAACTGCTGCTTCCCATCTGGAGAATTAACTCTCTGAGGCCTGTCTGGCTCCTTCAGGCTCTAGGAGGGATGCTTACCCCTCCTGTGGATTAGGGGCTAGTCCTGGATGCCCTCTGAGCTTGGGTCCAGTGAGAATTATGGCAAGCCTCTCTTCCCGTGGTTCTTGCGTCTGAGTACACATCAGAAACACCACAAGAGCCTATCGAAATGCAAATTTGCAGGACCCACTGCCAGGAGTTCTGATTTAGGAAGTCTGGGGTAGGGCCTGGAGAGCTGTATTATAAGCAAGTTCCTAGGTGACTGGTGCAAGGGGCCTAGCAGTGCCCATGCTGAGCTGAGATGCTCCGACTTGGACAGGAGCTGGAATTTCTCAGTCCGGACAGGGTGGTCCTCTGATGCTGCACACCTTATAGAGTCACAACTCAGCTTCAGCCACGATCAATGTTTTGACACTCTTGTTTAATCTTTTCTTTACTCTCACTTTTGGTTGGTTTGTATGTTTGTGGGGTTTGTGTGTGTGTGCAGAATATTTGAATGCAAGCCCCTAGACATTTTTTCATTTAACCCGTACATACCTCAATGTATATCTCTAACAGGTATCATTATCATACCCAATAAAAATAATGATTCTAACATCTACTATCCAGTCCCTGATCCTTTCCCCCTGATTTTCTCAAAAATGCCTTTTTATAGTTGGTTTGTTTGAAACTTAGGTCTCTTGTATTCTATAACATTCTTCTTCCTTGCTACTCCCTACCACATACATATTTTTTTTTTCTCCATGCCATTTATTTGTTGAAGAACTTGGCTGGTTGGTCTTGTGGAATTTCTCATATTCTAGATGTGGCAGACTGGTGGTGTTTAACGTGTCCCTCAGTCCTCTTTATCTCCTGAAAACTGGTGGTCTGATGAGAGACTGATTAGATTCGGGATAGTTGTGCGTGTGTGTAAGTATTTTTTGGTCAGGCTAGACTCTCTCTTAGGTGTGAGGTGTGCTTCTTATTGCTTCACATCTGGAGGTGTATGCTGTCCACTCGTTCTGCTTTCAGTGGTGGTAAAAATGATCAGTGGATTTGGGTGTTGTCAGCCAGATCTCTCCTTAGGAAGTGCCCCATCACCTTTTCACCTAATCATCTTAGTGGCCCCTGATGAACTTGCCTGGACCCATGCCTTCTTGGGAGGTTACAAAATAATGGATATCTTACTCCATTCTAAAGGAGGCTTTAGAATGTGGAGTTCCTGGGCCTTTTGTGAACTCCAGTTGCTGTGTACCTCCAGGCCTGCTTCCAACCCTTGTCTCAGCCCAAACCAAACTTACTCGAGTAGGTGATGGAGAATGGTCGTCTTTACATCTTCTCCACTCCCAACTGAAATCTAGGCGTTGAACTTGTAGTTGGCAAATACGAATTGGGTGTCTTCTCTGTAAGAACACTGGCAGAAGCAGCAGCAACAGCCATTTGTACTTACTGTATACTTCCTATACATCAGGCAGTGTGATGAGCTCTTCACAATAAGAGCTACGTTACTGGACTACACCACAGTGCATCATAAACACAACAGGTCAATAGCGATATCATAAACACGATGTCGATAGTGACGATAGGTCCTTTATACTGCATTCTCTATTTCTGCACTGTTCTTTACAGCAGCCACTGGCCACATGTGGGTGGCTACCAAGCACTTGACATGTTGCTAATTCAAATTGAAATGTGGTGTAGGTGTAAAATATTCACCATATTTCAAAGATATAGTAGGAAAAGAACGATGAACACTTCATTAATATTTTTATACTGATGACATATTGAAATGGTAATACTTTGGATAGATTGGATTAAATAAAATGTATTACTAAAATTAATTGCATCTGTTTCTGTTTTTACTCTTTTTTAAAAACGTGGCTACTGGAAAATTTAAAATGACACGTGACCCCCATTATATTTCTCTTGGACAGCACTGCTTCTTTCATTCCCATACGTGGGTATTATTACTCCTAGAGAGGTTAAGGAACTTGTTCAAGGACATCCAACCTAGTAAGGAAGAAGCTAGGACTTGAACACAGGTCTGTGCTTTTTCTACTGGGTCACATGTGGCCCAGTGCCCAGCATGTGACCACTGACTATTTTGTTGAATGAATGATTGAATGATGGAAAAAGAACAGAAAGTCATATTTCAGATTTATGGGAGTTGAGCAAAGGCCTGAACACAGCGAGGGGGCTGGATGGGGCCTAGACTAGCTCTGGGCCCACCCGAGGCTGGCTAAGGGGCAGTCAAACGGGTCTCCATTGTGCAGTGACATTGTAGACATCCATGGTGGGAGCCGTGGGAGGACCTGGAAAGTGCAGGTGAGCCTACCTGTGCTGGAATAAGGTATGGAGCTGCTTAACCCACAGGCTCAAGGAAGCTACCCTTTAAGGTGTATTCAAGCTGCCACTGGCTCCTGGAGGACAGTCACTCCGTTTCTGTTGTCGGGACTGAGGTCTGAGGCTGAGGCTGTACATCTCAGTATGCGGCCCTTAGGCCGCAGCATCAGTGTCACCTGGGAGCTTGTTAGAAATGCAGATCCCCCCCAGACTCCACCCTAGGTGGGCTGAATTAGAGTCTGCAGTTTAACAGGACTCCCAGGTGCTCTGTGTGCTCATTGAGGAAGTCAGGGCTAAGGTAGTGATGACAAGAACAGTCTCTGCTTTGTTTGAACCGTGAGTTCAAATCCCAGCTCTACCACTTACTAGACTTTGGGTGGTTCAGGTAACCTCTGTGACCCTGACCAAATTGAATAAGTAGGCTGGGTCTCAGTTTCCTCATCATTAAAATTGGGGTAATAGTACACAGCCAATTTTGAGTGCTTAATAAAGGCTAGATATTATTAGGAGGGTGCAAGCAAAGGGAACAAATCTCAGAACCTTGACAATGGAGATTCCCTGAGGGGTGAGAGAAACTGAGGCCCAACAATGAATAATTGTATCTGTGGTCACTTTAGCCCAACAAATCAAAGCTCTTTAAAGTTCATGGAATTCCTGTGAGTCATCCATGTGAGTATTACCAATCAGTAAGTGTTTATGATGCACTGTGGTGTAGTCCAGTACTTTCAAACTTTAATGTGCATACAAAGCACCTGGTGATCTTGTTCAACTGCAAATTCTGATGCAGTAGGTTTGGTGGGTGGGGACTGAGATCTTGCTTGGTTAACAAGATCCCAGGAGATGGCAGTGCTGCTGGTCTGAGCACCTCACTTTAGATGGCAAGAGTGTAGAGCAGTGGTTCTCAATTTTTTTTGGTCTCAGGGATTCTTTACTTACAAATTACTGAGAGCCCCAAAAGCTATTGTTCTGGTGGGTTATAACTAGTGATACTTCCCATATTAGAAATCAAATCAGGAAAAATGTTAAATTTAAGAATACATGTGCACACAGAGTGATGACATCATTGTGTCGTGTAGCCGCTAGAAAACTCCACTGTGCACTTGTGAGAGTGAAAACTTTCAAATGACATTTTAGTACTATTACAAAAATAGTTTTGACACTGGAGACTCCCTGAAAGGGTCTCAGGGACCTCCAAGGATCCCTTGACCACTATTTGAGAACAACAGATATAGAGCGACTAGCTCTCTGCTCGGGACTGAGCCTGTCCGAGTTGAGAGTCTTCTAGTTGTAGGAAACTCAACTTAAGCTTAAGCAAAAGTGGGAAGTATTTGAAAAGCTGCTGAGCCATTGTCCCATATTTGAGCAATTTTTGAAGATTCAGGAAGGACAAGAAGGTGGCGGGGATTTAGGATTGGGAAAGAGTAAGGAACCCAGGCAGCTCTGGCCTCTACTTCTCCTTCCTTTATTCTTCTCTTGCAGGATTGCCTCTCCTGCTTCTCTGTGCACGTGGCCCCATAGTTCCTGAATTTATGGGTCCCCCAAGTGACCTGTACTAACTAGAGTCACTGTTTCCCAATTCTGAGTACCTTGGGGGTAGAATCTGGTTGGCCCAGCTTGGGTCACATGTCTATTCCTGAGCCAGCCAATCAACGGCGGCCAGTAGGGCAGGGCTGTGTGGTGCAGTCATGGCAGCCATGGCCCACCAGTGTGTGAATGGGGAGGTGGAATGGGGAGGAGTGGAGTCGGGTGAGTAGTTCTCAGAGAGGGAGGATGGTTTCTTTTGGACATCAGCTTCAAAGTTTTCTGTAACAGATTCTGGAAACCTGGGCCTCCGCCTTCTAGTGGCTCTGTGACTATGGGCAAATCATGAACCCTCTCAGAACCTGTTTCATCAAGTGCCAAATGGGAATAATATTACTTGGTTAAACTCAGATGGTGTTGTAGGAATTAACTGAGCTAATATATGTGAAAGAGCTTTGGATGCCGTGTGCCCAGCGTAGTGCTAAATGTCACGGGTTCATAATAAAGTACGAAGTGCCATCTTTGCCCTCGAGGACCTTGGAATTAAATTGAGGAGAAAATGCTAATAGTCATGATACAATCAGAAAGCAGCAGGCTTCTGACCGTGCACTTATCAAATGCAATAACAGTTCAGAGGAAAGAGCAATCAACTGGGCAAGGAGGGGAAATAATTTATTGAGTACTTCCTGTAGACCTAGTTCTGTCCCCTGTGGTTTCACACCCCCTTATTAGCACTACAACTCTGCAATAAAGATGTTGCTATGCCCATTTTACAGCTGAGAAAACTAATGCTTAGAGAAGTAACTTGTCTGAAAACACATGCTAGTGTTTAAACCTATGTCTGTCTGACTTTAAAGCTGATGCTTTACTCCTCAGTGTGGCAAGAGGAAGATTCTTGGAGGTGTGGCATGTTAGCAAGGCAAAAGCATGGAGCAGATGTGGATGGGCAGAGTAGAGGCTGATCCGTGACCGGGATCAATCAAAACAAAGACTTGGACGTAGCATCAGCATGAGGTGATCCTGGTAGGACTGGCACTAGGTCGTCAGTGGATATGTCAGTGGGCTTTGGATGGCAGTGAACGAATGGATGACCATGGGCTCCCGTCCTTCACTCCTTTTGTCTAATTGGTCTGAGACTCATGCAGGATGGATCGGGTAGGGCAACGCAGAGGTAGAACCCCAGCTGGCGGGTTCTTTGAGCAGTTCAGGGGTTAATTGATGAGCTCCTGGATTAAGATGTGGAATAGAAGGGAAATGCAAAGCCTAAGATGGCTTTTGAAGGAAGACACAATAGCACTTGGATACAGAGAATGAAGAAGAAGAACCAAAGATGATTAACTCACTGACCAGCCGACTGGTGGATTGATTCATTTATGCAGCAAACATTTATTAAGTGCTGCTTGGGTGACTGGCCCTGTGCCAGGTTCCAAGTATAATGGTCACCCAAATAGACGTTTTCCACCCTTATGTGGGGGAGATGGAAAACCAACAAGTACACCAACACACATATAATGTCAGACAATGCTATGTGCTATGACATGAAGCAGGGTAGGGGTAAGAGACCGATGGAGGGGATGAGTGAACATGCATTGGTCAGGAGGGCTTCTCTGAGGAGGTGACATTTGAGCAAGACAAGTAGGATTCCGAGTTTCCAAGCTTGAAACATTCCAGGAGACTAGAAGTGTGCTCCAACCACAGGAGGCGTCCCTTGCCTGTCCCCTCAATGCCCTATAGCCACAATCCCCATTTTGCAGTTGGGGAAACTGAGGTGCAGGGAGAAAGCGGGAGCAGCAGCCACCCTGCCAGCAGCCCTGCAGAGCGCAATTAAACCCTGGCTCTCAGCAGGGCCCCCGCTTCCTGCTGGCTGCTCCCAGCTCCAGCTCTCCTCCTCTTCTCCTGGGTGGTATTTTTAGTCTCCCAGAACCTCCTCCCTGAGTCTGCTGTTGCCTCTGTCATTCTGCTTGACTTGCTTTCACCTGCTCCCAGGCGCCTGTGACAGGGCTGCGGGCGGCACACGTCAAGCTGTCCCCGGCTTCTCCAAGGGGGGCTGGGGGGGGGGCGCGGGCAGCTGAGGGTGACCACCCTCAACGTGGGCAGGCGGGGCGGCCTGTCAGTGCCTCGGGGTGACTGCCAGTGCCGCCCAGCTCCCTCTTGGGGTCAACTCTGAGTAATGAGGGCGAGGGGAGGGGACTGCGGGCTGGTGCGTGTGCAGGGGTGGGGGGCGGGGAGGCTAGGAGGGGAAGTGCCCTGGAGGGGAGGGAAGGAGGGAGGTGGAACTTTGTAATTTGTTTTGGAAAGAGACAGCCGAGGAGGTGGTGGCCTTGGTAGCTTGGCAGGTGGTGTTGATTGTGAAGGGTGTGTGTTTGGGGAGAGTGTGAGCCCCGTAGGGCTGGGGTACAGGCCTTTCCACTGTGACATCCCCAGGGAAACTGTGTGTGTGTGTGTGTGTGTGTGTGTGTGTGTGTGTGAGCAACTCAAGGCCTTTTGACCATGAAGTCCCCTCGGGGGTCACTTTTCCAGACCAGGCCCCTGGGACTGCCCCATTTTCCCTGCACACCAGGTGTTGCCATGTTTTATTTCTCATCTGCTGCACCTTCTTCTCTGTCCCCAAAGACCCCAGCAGGCCCTTTCCTTGGTTGGGAGTTTACTGCTACTCATTACCAGAGAATGACCTGGAGGAGGCTAGGGTGCTACCCATGTGACCGGTGTGGGACTTACAAAGGTCTAAAAATAAACCTTGCCATGTTCTTGTAGCCACTGTCCTGGGGCTGCCCAGCCGCCAGCTCCCTCTCTGGCTGCTCTTGTCTATCCTTGGAGGTAGAGCCCATCCCACCCTCACCCCGGATGATGCTGGTGGAGATGCACACAGGGTGGGGGTCTCAAGAGTCCAGCCCCAGGAGAGTGTGAGGTGTCAAGGGCTCTTGCCACTGGCTGGAGCCCCGAGGCAGACCACACAGGGGGGCCTCAGCAGAAGCTTGCCCTATGGAGTAGGCTGAGCAGGGGGGAGGGGAGCTCACGCCCCGATGCTAGGCCTGGCTGCCTCTTTTTTTTTTTTTAAAGCATTTTCTGGTCTATCTCATCTTTTTAAAAAATTTATTTTATTTATTTTATTTTTGGCTGTGTTGGGTCTTTGTTGCTGCACGCAGGCTTTCTCTAGTTGCGGCGAGTGGGGGCTACTCTTCGTTGCGGTGCCTGGACTTCTCACTGCGGTGGCTTCTCTTGTTGCGGAGCATGGGCTCTAGGCATGCGGGCTCAGTAGTTGTGGCTCACGGGCTTAGCTGCTCCGAGGCACGTGGGATCTTCCCAGACCAGTGCTCGAACCGTGTCCCCCGCGTTGGCAGGTGGAATCTTAACCACTGCGCCACCATGGAAGCCCTGGCTGCCTCTTGAGAGACTTGAGCTGGAGGGGAGTGTGAACACAGGAGTCTGGGGTGATAGCTGCATGTACGCTACTTGCTCTAATTCGCCCATTATCTGGGCAGCTGAGGGGAGCTGGGTTGGCACCCACATGTGGTTTCAGCGAAGCTGGCTAAGGAGTTGGAGGAAGAGATCCTAGGGGCAACAGTAGAGGATGGGAATTCTGACTGCTCAAGGCTTTGCAGTCAGACTGTCCTGAGTTTGCCTCCTGGCTCTGCACTTAGTGAGCAAGTGACCTTGGGGAAGCTACTAATCCCTCTGTTGCCTCAGTCTCCTAAATCTGCAAAATGGAGATAATAGTAGCACCTGCTTCTCGGAGTTGTGAGGATTCAATGAAGTGATACGGCTGAGTAGCTGAGTGATTTGGGTAGGTTACCTAGCGTCTCTGGGCCTCAGTTTCCTGGCCTGTAAAGTGGGGTTGGTATATGAGAGACTACAAATGTAGTATAAAGTTGAATGAGGAGATATGGGTGAAGCGCTCAGGGCCTCACAGAAAACGTGCTCAGGAACCGTAGTGATTGTCAGCATAACAAGCATCCCAATATTCCCATGTCTCCCCAGGCCCGCGGCTCTACAGGTGGCAGAAGGAGGCACGACGCCGCCTCTCAGGAAGACCACGACAAACCTTACGTCTGTGATAGTGAGTATGGCAGACGCCGCCTTCCTGCCCCAGCCCCATGCTTCCTGTGCCGCCCCAGCCTCAGGCTCGCTGGCTTCTGCTCTCGGGCCTGCCTGCTGCTGCCTCACCGCAGTCACGCCCTGACCTCCCCTCGTTGCTGCTCCAGGCCCTGGTGTTGCTTGCAGGAAGGAGAAGCAAGCCCGGAGGCCTCCCCGCCCTGTGCTCCTCTCCCTGCAGCGCCCTCCTTCGTGGCTTTCCTCCGGCTCTCTCTCTTTCACTCTCTGTCTCCTTAAGGTTCATCCTCTATTTCTTTCTCTGTTTCAGAGAATTCAAACAAAAGCATAACTCAAAATCCTCCAACAAAGGTACTTGGCTCCTGTGGCTTTTCATTTGTTTCCCTTTAACTTCCTTTCTCTTTCTCGCTCTCCTGTCCTAGGTGGGGCAGGTTATGAATCTTTCTCTGACCACGACTTAGTTTAATAAATGGCCCTCGATCCATCTCCAGCTTCTCTTGCTTGCTTCTGAAACATCTTTGGACAAGCGACTGCCTGGCTCCTGGGTTTAGGGTCTGCAGACAGAGATGGGGAGGGGCCAAGGGGCAGAGCAGCGGGGGCGGTGGCAGCGGGTGGACCTCCAGGGACCTGCAGCTTTCCGAGGGATTGCTGTCAGCTTGAGAGAGCTTTTGGCTTTCTCACCTATCAGAGCACTAGGGGGTGGATTTTTTTTTTTTTTTTTTTGCGGTACGTGGGCCTCTCACTGTTGTGGCCTCTCCCGTTGCGGAGCACAGGCTCCGGACGCGCAGACTCAGCATCCATGGCTCACGGGCCCAGCCGCTCCGCGGCATGTGGGATCTTCCCGGACCGCGGCACGAGCCCGTGTCCCCTGCCTCGGCAGGCGGACTTTCAACCACTGCGCCACCAGGGAAGACCCGGGGGCGGGGGGTGGATTTAAAAGCCTTGCCTTAGGGACTTCCCTGGTGGTCCAGTGGTTAAGACTCCACGCTTCCACGGCAGGGGGCCTGGGTTCAATCCCTGGTCGGGGAACTAAGATCCCGCATGCCGTGTGGTGCAGCCAAAAAAAAAAAAAAAATCCTTTCCCTAGTTATCTTCTCACCATATCGGGTGCCATCTGCTCGCTCCATGGCAAGGGCAGCCCTCGAAACCCCTCTCCCTGACCATCTTCCCTTCCCACCTTCTCCTCTCTGAGGAAGCAGAGCTCCGCCGTGGGCGAGAAGGGGCTGCAGTGAGGATGGCAGCGGGACCGCTGAGGCAGGGCCCCGGGCACAGTGGTTCCTCGGGCGTCCTGCCCGTCTTGCCAGTGTCTGCAGTCTCTGTGAAAGTGGGAGAGACCCAGGGGAAGATGGGGCACAGGGAGTACATCGGGGGTGGTGCCCTTTTCCTCCCTCTTCACTGGCCTCTTTTGATTTCAAAAAGTTGTTCTGTGCCCGGTGGGGTGACAGCTGGTTGGAGAACCTTTTGCTAGAAGAACTCAAACTCCATGACCCCCACTTGGCTGCTTAATACACCGTGCAGATGACATTCCTGAGACGACTCCTGCAGGTAACATCTCCATCCCAAGCCGAGGCCGGTTCAGCATGAGGAGGGAGCAGGGCATGGGTCTGATGTCTCTCGGCAATACCAGGAGGTGCCTGCTTCCGCCTGGGTCTTGCTTCCTGGATGGGGTTCAGTTTTGTTCTGATGTATAAAAGCCCAAGCATGCTAGCCCTCGGAAGACTGATTCTGGGCTGGGAAGGGTCCTTCAGACCCCCAGGGGGCAGGCTTTCCAGCTGTGTCTGGCCAGAGCAGCCCAGCTATCAAGAAGGCCAAGAGCTGCTTTGGAACTGGGGCATTGCCACTGCATTCCTCTTTCAAAAAGCTGTATTTTCTTAGGTGATTTTCTGCTACCGCAGATAGTGGGATTACCTTTCACGCTCTCTCTCCAGCTTTCATTGGGTTCTCAGCCGGAAATAATCCCAGACACACCCATGCGCCCTTCTCCACCCTCCCCTCAGTTCCTGTCTTCCCTGCCTTTGCCTCCTTAGTATTATATCCACGCAGCACCCTTGTGGGTGTCCCTGTCTGGCCTGGCTCACCCCCTCGCCCCCGGGCTCCTGCGGCTTTGTTTAGGGCTCTCAGTGCCATGTGCTGTTTCCTGTTCCCCTCCCCACGGGCTCTGTGTCTCCTCCTGTTTACCCTGTGGAGCTTGGGAGGCCTGATTGCAGGCCTGGTGGCAGCTTTCTGGAAGTCTCAGGGGCTGATGTCTTGGCTCTGCCTGCACAGGCGCTGCCTGCTTTTTCCTCCCTCGGCGGGACAAGGTCCACCGTGGAACGCCCGTCTCTATCCTGCCTCTCTTAGGAAATTGTGTGGCAGCTCAGTGATTAATAGACTTTATTTTTATCTGGTGCCCTTCAGACATGTGATCCTTTGGGATACGAATGACCTTTGGAGAGGTCACAAGGCCCACCTCCCACCCCCACCCCCCAGCTGAGCAAGGAATGCTTTTAATAATCTCTAATGCATCCTAAGTAGAGAGGTGTCTCGTCAACTCCTTGAATGTCCCCAGGGATGGTGTTACCATAAGCTGCCCTTTCTTCCATGATTCCAACTGTGCTTTGAATGATTGTTTTTTCCTTAATAGGAGCTGAAATTTTTCTCTCCTACAGGCCCGCTTAGCTTTTGTGCGTCTTTTCCCAACAAATAGGCACCTTCAGGATTTCGTCTATGCTGGAGGCCCTCATAACATCCCCTTGTATTCTTGGTTTACCTAGGGACGCATCCCATAATTTCTGCAATGGCCAGCTCAGAATTCTCTTCCAGGTTTAATTTAAGCTCAGCACTTTCATTGGAAGGAGCACCCAGGCCAAGTGGTTCAAAGAGTAACAGACACATTTCCTTGTTTACTTTACACGTCGGCTTTTAACACCACCCACGTCTGTAGAGAATAGAAGTAATTGGCCACCCCATTGCACTGTGTACCATCTCAAACACTTCCCACCCGGTGCCTGTCCTGACCCCCTGGGCCAATGCCTCTCCAGGTGTGTGCTCTTTTCTACTTCTACATTTGATTATTCCTGCTTCCATAAATCACTCTGTATTTGGCCCTATTGAGTCTCCATAAAGAGATACAATAATATGTGACTTCAATATGCAAGATTCAATAAAGGCAAATTTAAAGACATTGCCCAGTAGTTAAATTTCATTCACTACGGATTCACAATCCCTGCCATTTTTGTATTGTCTTTGGATTGATTTGCATAATCTCCACTCCATCTTTCGAGTTATTTATGAAAATATGAGGCCACCTTGGACCCCACCACCTCTTTCCGGGTTTCTGTGGAGTAGTTGTAGCTATTTTTCAGATGTGATTGTATTTAACCATTCCTGGTGTATATTCCTATATAGTTGTCCTGCTCTGTTCTCGGTCCAAGCTTCCCTTTCAAGGTGGGTGGTTGAAATATTATCTTAGCTGCTAACTTCAGGTGATAGATAGTTTGCTTGTTACCTTTCACTCAGCCCTTGAATTTATTCCATCTCAGAGAAATATTAAAATCATCTGAACATAATTTATTTTTTACCCAATCCATGGTGTGTGTGTAGATGAATACTTCATTTTCCAGCAAGTAACCAATCTCTATTAATTATCCTGAAAGTTTACCCAGCTTCAGGATTAAAGTTCTGTTTCTTCCCTTTCAACCTCTTGCCAAAGGGAAAGTGTTCATTCCCTACAGCAAAGCACCTACATGTGACTTTGTAGGAAAGGATCCTACGTCAGAATCACTGGGAGTAGACCTAGGAGTCTGCATTTTTGAGAGCTTCTCAGGCGATAATTATGAATACTGATTTTTGAGAATGACTGGTCTACCGCATTCAAATTCGAAGACTTCTGGCCTCTGACTGACCAGCCCTTTTATTATTCCCTGTTTTTTGCATCTGGAAGTTCTGGAATCTCCAGGAATTCTCCAGGCAGAGTGCCACCAGCTTGCATTGCTGTTTTAGTTGGTCTCTTTAGAATCTTTCCTTTCCTGTTCTTTCAACATTGATATAAAACTCAGTAGTCCGAAATAAAATTCAGCAACCCAGTACTTGACTTTAGTTTACTTAATGGCTTTAAATCCCAATAATGTAATTAACTCCCTTTTATAGGTGAGATGATAACTGGGGATAGACATATGAAAGAAATCCTTGGGTTTGGGCTACTGAGATATTTTGAAAATAATTTCAAGGGTTTGCCATTTCTCTTCCTAACTGTTCCCAGCTCTGGATTTTCAGTTAGCATCACTGGGGAAGACTCTTGATGAGAGACTCACTTTTCTATTTTCTTTGTTCAAGGAGCATCATAGGAAAGAAGATGGTGGTGATGAGGTGATGTTCAGGGAGAAGGAGAACATTTTGTCTCTAAGCTTCAGCCATTTAGGGAGGAACAAAGCACCCATTTGCCCTTCTGCGGGGCACAATGGAAGTGATTTGTGAAGTTTTTTTTTTTCCTTTCCCAATTTTTTCTTTAAAAAAAATTAAATTTAATTACATTGTAGAAAGAACACTTAACCTGAGACCTACCCTCTTAAATTTTTAAGTGCACAATATATGTTGTTCAGTAGGGGTACATTGTTGTACAGAAGATATCTAGAGGTTGCTCATCTTGCTTGATGGAAACTTTATGCTTGTTGGTTAGCGATTTCCTATCACCCCCTCCCCACCAGCCCCTGACAACCACCATTCCAGTCTTCGATGCTTTGAATTTGTCTGCTTTAGAGAACTCATATAGGTGGACTCACGCAGTATTTGTCTTTCTAGGACTGGCTTCTTTCACTTAGCATAATATTCTTGAGGTTCATCCGTGTGATTGCGTATTGAATAATGCAGTATTCCTTTTAAAGGATGACTAATATTCCGTTGTATGTGTGTACCACATTTTCTTTATCCATTCATTCATTGATGGGCATTTAGATTGTTTCCGCGTCTTGGCTAGTGGGAATACCGCTGCAATGAACATAGGAGTGTTAATATCTCTTTGAGATCTTG